ACATTTTCTGACACATTTTTACACTTAGGATTGTGGTATCTATCCCAGAACAAACATTACTTGCTTTAACAATTGTAGTTTATCTTCCAGCTAAACTACAGTAGCTTTCTAAAAAGTTATACTTTTGCTTCAATACTTACTGGGTACACAACAGAATAAATTCTTTTCTATTAATTTATAATTTTCTGTAACCATATTGATAATCAAAACATTTTAAATTTAAATGTGTGACATGTTACATATAAACATATATATACAAAGTTCACAATATTCATTCTCATGATTGTGGGAAAGGACCACATCTGTGTTCCTGCTGGGAAGATGGCTATGGTCATGTTGTCACATGATGTGCAGTTTGCAAAAAGAATCAAATTTTCCCAAACACTTACGTTTGTGAGACATATTGTTGACAAAAAGCAGCGTTCATGAACTGAGGTATTACTATATATTCTTCATATTTCTTTTCTTTTTTGAGTGTTTGCCATTTATAGAATATATTCTATTATTCCACACATATACAAGAATACAGGAAGACAGGTTACTTCTATAAAGTTTGTAAAACTTGGCAGAAACAGGTTCAAGAGGAGCTGGGGATTTAGCTCAGTGGTTATGGCACCTGCCTCACAAGCAAAATGGCCCAAGCTCAACATCTGGTATCCCCCAAAAAAAGGTTTAAGTGGAAATAATTTTTAGATACTTGTTAAGTAGTCTATGTAAACAATAGAGAACATATTAGAAACTTGTTTATAATATGCAAAAGAGAATCAGACAATTTACATAGAAGTTGTCTTAAATGATTGCAGTGTTTGCAGCAAATTCATTATCACTTTTATTAGATAGGTAGATGAAGCTATATTTACACAGACAAATGATAAGTAAATCTATCCTCTATTTAAAATCAATCTTCTTTTGTTAATTGAGTTTATTGGCATGTTTAAGGTATACAGTACAATTACATTCATTATTGGGATTTTGTACCTTTACATGACAAGTCTTGGTTCTCATTTTTTCCCCTTTCCATGCCCTCCCTTCACCCCCTCCTCTTCTCCCCATTTACAAACAGTTTATTTCCATTTTTTCATTTTGTCTATAACTCAAAAGAAAATAAGTGCTGAAAAGTAAGTCACGGTGTATTCTAGATTGTTGAATTTTGTTTAGAACACAATGGCCACTGTTTAAGAATGGTGGACTTCAAGGGTTGCATCAAATTCAGCAGAAGCAGCATTTGGGAACTTTTTAGAAGTGAAAACTTCAACCTATGTCCAAATTCCTGAATCTAACACTCTAGGTGTGTAACTCAACATTCTGTAGTTTTTCTAAGTCCTCCAGCTAATTCTCATGCAATATGCTAGTTCAGAATCACCATAATAAAATTCAGAAATAATAATTTGGGCTATGGTTTTCCTGATAGCTTGTGATTTGCAGAGGGCCCAAAGAAAATCATTTTGTATCAATTGATTGATTTATATTCATTAGGGCATATGTTGAACAGTCCTTCTGTCAGCCAGACAAAGCATGGTCTTCCGATTTTTTTGAATTGGTTGGCTGCATTTATTAAGGGATTTACATTTTGTTCTTCAGAGAAACAGCCCTGCAATTTTCTCAAGTTAACTATCCTTTCTTGCTTTGGTAAGAGTATAAAGATAGCATTTGAAATGGGGTTTGGATATATTCACTCCTATTACACTTTAGCAGGTCTTTGAGAATAATTGATACAAGTTCTTAGCTAGCATATTTCTATAATCCCAGCACTCAAGGAAGAAGTGGAGGCAGTGTATTACAAGTTCTAACCCAACCTGGGTGACCTCATTAAGTTAGAAAGACCCTGTCTCAAAATCTAAAATGCTCAATTTAAATCAGTGTGGAGACCATAGGTTTGATCCTTATTACTGTAAGAAAAAGTTGATAAAATTTCTTTAAACATTTGATAGAATTCATTGACATGGCTCTTGGGTCTTGAGCTTATTGTCAATTGCAAATTTGTGTGTGTGTGTGTGTGTGTGTGTGTGTGTGTGTGTTACTCAGTATCTTCAGAATAATTATTCCCCCAAGAACAATATCTAACTTTATCCATAAATTCTGAAAAACAGAAGGCATACTACACTTGTACCATATATTGGGTCTTGAGATGGATCGATTTACCTCAAATATCTGAAATTTATCATTATTTGTGGCAAAGTAGTTGCATTATGTATGTATGGTTTATTGTATATAAGAAATTTTGTTAAAGATGTGTGAAAAAAGAACCCTTGTCCATTTTTGGCAGGAAAGTAAATTGGTACAGATACTATGGAAAACAGTATGGAGATTGCTCCACAAACTAAAAAAAGGTAAGTCTTTAATCCACTTCAATTTTATTTTACTGAATGATCAAATATAATGTTCTAATTTTA